GCATTTCGCGAGGTGCAAGGGGAGAGTGACCAACCGCAACCCCAGACACCCACCCTCGACCATACTGAGGCTTTTGGACGCATACTAGAGGGTCGCGTGTGCCGGGATCCTTCTTTTGTCACTGATGTGTGACTGTAACAATACGCCGTTGTGTGCCAGTATTTGAACATTTCAGGAAGGGTTGATAACAGATTAGTTGTACGGTGGCATGTGGCTTCGGTTCATATCGGATGAACAGTCCTTGAATTACTCGTGTTGACCGAAAACTTTGGAGATTACTGTTGTGTTCGGACTAGAAGTACGAACGACACGAGCGACTCTTGCTTAACCCTCAACGATACCACAGAGAGAGAACACACGTTGAGACAACAGTCAGCGTGAATCTTTTTGGACGAGATTTCGAAACGCGAATAACTAGAACAAATCGCGCATACGAGAATGGCGCAATGACGCACCAATCAATCAGATTGCGTCTATGACATATCGAATGATCGATTGGATAAACATTGACTGATTCGTTCCAATCGGGCTCAGCTTGTCTGGAACGCTGAGAGCGTGCGTTTGGCCTAACTCGGAGGCGTGCACGGTCGGACGGGATACTTAAGATACGTCCTAACAATTACCAGTCAACCTCTGGTTATTGGGTACAATCAAAGGCAAGAGATATTTTCGTAAATTTTTACCTTTTTTGCATTTTATCAACCTGAAGTACTTCGAACTGTTATTTTTCTGATTGCTCCTGGTAATGCTCATTAATAATCTATAATGTCGTTAGAATACTTCGATAGACGGTATGTTTTAGGAGTTCTCTCACGGAAAAGTCCAATCCATGGGTTTCAGTGACTTTTCGAACGATTCAACTCTCTCAATTCATAGATTTTTAAGTTTTAGTAATCCACGGTTGCACTGTGACTGTGCAATGTTGCGCAGGTCCATCAACAGTGAAACTATCTTTCTCAAGGAGCTGCTTGTATACCAAGCATACACTGACTAATATCATCATTAGCCAACAAGTAGGCACCACCACCCCGCGATTGTGGAAACGTATTTCTCGTTTCGGCTTACGCTCCAACGGACTGCAGGCCGGAAGCAGTCGAAGACGAATTTTACCATAATATACACGAACTCTTGCGTACCGAGCTGATATCGTGATTTTAGCAGGTGTGAATACTAAAGGAGCCAGGCTAAATTCGAGCGATTCGCATCCGGGAGGTCCGTCCAGACTGGATTGCTGCCGATCGGAAAACAGGAACGGCTGTTGGCTTTACGTTCCGACCATCAACTATTCCTCGCCAGTACGAACTGCAGACGTTCCGACTGCTGGTAAACCACTTGGAGTCCGCTGACCTCAAACCAGTGACGAACGCAGATTGACCACTTCGCTATGAGCCACAAATTGCAGGGTTGCATACAAGATTGGCGATCGTAATGGAGTACTTTCCTCGAATCCAAACACGCGTTGGATTAACCCAAGCTGTCCGTGTGCTTCGGTGGGCATTCGAAACGAACGGTACGACGGTTGGACTGTGATAAGCTGTCTAAAACAGTTTGCCTAACTGTTTTAAAACGTGCTAGCTTTAAAGCTGTAATCAACCCCACTCGATAAGATTAATCAGCAATGGTTGCTTATCAAGAATGCTCTGTTGGCTTAGTCAGTTGTGGTCTGATTTCAGTGTAGTCCCTACTCCTTCTTAGCACGCGCCGATCACTCCCGACCGACAGCGTGCATAACGAGGCATGATCCGTAACGAGAGGTAACTTCAGTGCAAGCCTACACGGAGAAGGCGAAATGGACTCAACGTGCATGGGAAATTACTATAAGCTGTTCCATCTCGTCCGGGCCACCGGTAGGAAAGCTGTGTGAGCGAAACGATCTGCCAAGCTGACGCCTCGCCCGTTCATAATCAACAGCGAGGTCTTACACGCAAGGCGGAACGTTTCAAAGCACAGTTTAGATGACCACCACCGCCAACTCCACACGTAACTATTCCGGCACACGTCCCATGATGTCTCAGCACAACCATGTTCTTGGGCGGAAATCCGTAAGATTCAAACCCTGGGACGTCACAAAGCACCGGGCTCCGATGAGCTTCCCACAGCCCTATTAAAGCTGGTGGAATAAAGCTTGTTAGAGAATTGGTGGCTCTGTTCCCTACAGTGTAGCACACTGAGCAGCCCACCCCCCTACCCGTCGTGGGGGAAAAGATCGATATCACCATCTTGCAAAAGGGCTCGCGTAGTAACTGCACCGATCATAGGAGTATAATCCTGATTCTAATAGCGTTGAAGCTGTTGGCGTCCGTCATTCTCGGCTGATTATATACCATGAGAGAGGAACANGAGGAACAGACCCGCGAGGAATACGCTGGATTTCGAACCGGTCGTGGATGCATCGATCAAATCGTCAACTTCAAGCCTGGTGTTACCAGCTTTCTTCCAAACGTTACATAGTTTACTGTTCCAAGCATGTATCTTTATGTTACTCCCTTTTTCCAAACACGTCAAACCGCGAACTCCCGGATGGCTTGATACTGCTTGCAACCGTGTTGTTTTACAGCTTCAGCACTCTGTCGTTGACGCCAGCCACCCAATCCGACAGCCACTTAGTGTAAGCCAAAATTAAATGATCGCCTACCAAACAGAGCTAAAGAACGCCTGTTACCACAAAACTGGGCTTGGCTTCGTCCAACACTGGTTTGGTCCCTTGCCAAGGTAGTTTCGTGTAATTTCTGCCCCTCTATCTTTCCTCTCCGTTGCAATTCCTCTAGAACCCGTTTGAGAGCTCCGAGAAAAAGCGGAGGTTTTCGGTATCCGTTTTGCCTCCAACTGTACTTTGTCAATCGACTCTGTTCTCATACATACAACTCCTTTCTATTTCTCCTAACCAGAAGGATCGGCCAAAGTCTCAGTGGTAAACCACTTGACCCGGTCGGTGTTCCGCTCATCGTCCTAAAAGTACGTTTCCCGGCGTTGACCCCCGTTCTACCTCGCCTTTTCTTAACCCGATTTCAATCTTTGGAAGAAATGCCATTAATTTTCCTATCCCTTCCACTCCCAATAACTACCGTCCATCACTCTCACTTCTCGAAGGCAAAGGTTTACTGGGTTACCGTAAATCTGGATCTCGCCATGTTCGACCTACGGATGACCTACTGGGGCTCACATCGCATTCTTATTCAAGTGCACTTGATAACCACGAAGAACTCACTTGCTCGACATTTCAAAGCCCTTCAACGCAATTTGCTGGTCTACCGTCGAAAATACCATCGCCGTCCGAGACGATGGAATCCTATCAAAAACATTACTTATGAATACTGACTTTCCTCAAGGCTCCAAATTTTCGCACATGCAGTTATTAACCTTTTGTCCAAAACCTCCTATCACCTTCAACGGTTGACCAACGACATTGCTCTCCATTGATCTCTTTAATGTCCACGACCACTACGCCAACTCCCAATATCGATCATGATCACATTAACACAGGCTTCTCTTCCCCGATAAAGGTACGTAGTAATATCTGACATCCGCAACAGTCCAAATAAATGGGACCCTAGAGGAAAACAAAAATGGATGAACAATCGGCAAGCGATGAACACTCAATCTAAGCAACACGTTTCAAGGGGATAGGTATGAGGAGACTATCACCTGTCGTGGTAATCGAGGGCGTAATAAATAATGAGCAATGGAAAGGATACATTCAGCCGAAATTGTAGGAGATTAGGGAAAGCGATGCCCCTGGGCGTCGATATGAAGAGAATTAGACAGTCGGTCCATGACTGGTACGTCCCATCCGAGTACCTTATCCCCGTGTTTCCAAACACTTATAACCCTTCTCTTTTCAAAAGCAGGACTAAGAAATTGATTCCTACTTGGATGTTCCCCCACATACCTCCCCTTTCACAGTTCATCATTGATTACGAGGTTTACCTCTTTTGCTGTAAACCACTTCGTTGGTGCTCAAAATATCTGGAGTTTCCAGTGGCAAATCAATACTTGTTAGCCGGAGAGCAAACATACACATACAATTTAGATGCAGGCGTAACCCAACTCTGGCACGCTTGTGCTCCGGAAATTACAGTGCAAACTGATGAACCCAGCGTATAGATATAAATTAACCCAAGCTTTTACTGCGTGATATTAGTGTTTACAATCAAATAGTGCCTAGGTCGCACAAGACTCCATCTCCGCAGAATTAATAAGTTGAATGGCAGACTCTACTGAATGAAGCAACCCCTGTCGATACCCACTACGAAGAAGAACCGAGCATCCCAACTATTGAGCTCATTCATTGTAGAGCGACGAGCCCACAAGAAACGAGTATGGTTCCCCGGTTTTGTTAGGACACGGAAAATAACTTGGATTCGCCAATCAACCGCGGGGCGATTTAGACGGAGGAAAGCGACCACGCTAGGGCAGTAGCTAAGCCGACGACTGTTGACCCATCACGATGCTCAACGAGTGGACGAGCGAGTAAAATGGTAGCCCCTCGAAGCGACTAAACACAATTGCTTACGTTACACCTTTGGCGGAGACGGACAAGCAGCCCATACGGAGGATGAGCTAGATCAGGTCCCTAGCCAATTTTGCGGTCAACGGTAGCCGCCCTCGTTGTTGGATACGAGCCAATTCNGTTTGAGTAACTAAGGTCAAGCCCCAATTTCGGAGTGCATAGCCGGGACCATGACGGGAACGTCACACTTGGGATCGCTATCCTTTGAACTAACGCCATATTCATACCGTTAGGGCGATAAACCCTTCACCCGTGTACACCCAAGGCTCCGGAACCACAACTGAGAAAAAGCGATTAACAATTATGCACGATATATTGAAAAATGCAATGACAATTTGTCAATGGACGTTCATCGACTCCGACTTCGAGAAGCGCTCCTCCGCCCAGACGGGGACCTGCAAAGAAATATGGATAACTCAGTAACTGTCAGAAAAAGACTAATCTATTACTTGGTTGTAGTTTAAACAGCTCACTTACACGCGACGCTGTCGGTCGGATCGTGTGGGAGTTCACTACGCCAGTCA